TCATCATCATCATAATCATCATCATCATCATCGTCATCATCATCATCATCATCATCATCATCATCATCATCATCATCATCATCATCATCATGCTCCCTCCTCGTTCCTCCCTCCCCGCCTCCGAGACGAGAGACAAGGGGGGCCAGCGGAGGCGGTAGAGTAGGGACCTGTGTGCGGCTCGCGGCGGCAGCCGGCGCCCAGCACGGGCGGGGCTGGTGGGCAAGCGGAGCCAGACCTGGCGCCCTGAGGGTGCGATCGGCGCTGGCGATGAGCGCTACTGAGTAATCGGCGTAGCGAGCATGGGGGCTCGCGGCGCGCGCCAGCGCCAGCGACATGCAGGTCTGGCGGGGCTGGGCAGGGCCCAGTCGGGGGCAGCGTCGTCCTCAGCGCTGGCGACAAGCAGGGCTCCATCCGAAGCGATGGCAGCGAGCAGGCGTGGTGGGGCTGGGCAGGGCCCAGTCGGCGGCAGCTTCGTCCTCAGCGTGCGCGACAAGCGGGGCTCCATCCAAGGCGATGGCAGCGAGAAGGTGAACCAAAGAAGAGGAGGAGGAGGAGGAGGAGGGGAAGAAGGAGGAGGAGGAGGAGGAGGAGGAGCAGGAGGGAGGAGGAAGATGGAGGAGGAGGAGGAGGAGGAGGAGGAGAAGGAGGAGGAGGAATAGGAGGAGCAGGAGGAGCAGGAGGAGGATGAGGAGGAAGCCTGGGCGAGCTTTCCAGCAACGTCTCGCGCACACGCTGGGCCAGCTTGGCGCACACAGCCCCACACATGACCAGGGGCGAGGAAACTGGGCCGCCCTACAGTCGAAACGTGGCCACAAAAAAAGAAGGCGAGGAGCAGGAACCCTTTGCCAAAGGCCCAATGCTCCATGGAGACGCCCCAAGACGAAGAGCATTCCGAGGTGGAGAGCGGAAACACGAAGAACATGGGGGTAACCATCCAAAGCTAGGGTTCCTCTTGACCTCGCCCCAGTCGTACCGAAAGCTGGCGGAAGAACGCCGGGGACATGGCGGACGGCGGCTGCCGCAGACGCCAGCGGCGCTCACCGGCGCCGGCGACGAGCAGGATCTGTCGGAGGAGGGCCAGTTGAGACAACAGCGCCCTCCGTGGCGTTTCTCAGCAGTTCTGGGGCCATTGGCTTTTCGTCGCCGCGTCCAGGTCCGCCTCGACAAGCGATGGACCCCGGGAGGGGTCCAGGGGACTGGTTTTGAGTGGCCTCCTGGTGGCCTCTCGTCGCCACGGCCCTACCTCCTTCTCCTCCTGCCCATCTTCCCCCTTCTGCTTCGACTTCTCCTCCCTACTCTCCTCCCTCCCTCCTCCTCCTCCTCCTCCTCCTCCTCCTCCTTCCCCCTCCCTCCTTGCATCATCCTCCTCCTCCTCCTCTCCTCCTCCTCCTCCTCCTCTCCTCCTCCTCCCTCCTCCTCCTCCGCCTCCTCCTCCTCCTCCTCCTACCCGTCGTCCTTCCATTCGTTCCTCCTCCTCTCCCCCTCCTTCTCCCCCCCCCTCCCCCTTCTCCTCGAGAAAGACCGACACGCAACTACTGTGAGGCCTGTCCACCAGGAGCCCTGTGAGCACAGGGATGCAGCGGACAATGCGCGTGACGTGGCTGGTTCCACGGGAGGAGCAGCAGGAGGGGAGTGGGGGAAAGGAGAGGAGGAGGGCAGGGGAGGGGGGGGGTGAGATGGACGGAGAGAATGGATGGAGGCGAAGGACGGCGGGGAGGGAGGGAGGAAGGCTGGGAAAATAGAAGGGATGGGAATCGAGGGAGGAAGGGGAGGAGTCCTCCGGGAGGAGGGAGGAAGGGGATCGAGGAAGGGGATCGAGGAAAGGGGGGATGAGAATCGAGGAAAGGAGGAGGGAGGAGGGAGGAAGGGGATCGAGAGCAGGGAGGGAGGCTGGCAAAGGGAGAGGGAAAGGGGAGAAGAGGGGAAGAGCGGACAAGGCGAGGGAGGGGAGGGAGGGAGCGAAAGGGATGGCTCGGGACGGGGGAGGCCAAGGCGGGAGGCGAGGGGATGGGAGGCGAGACGAGGAGGAGCACACATTTTGCACGGGGCACAGGGAGCCCAGGCAGGGGCGCGACGGCACGACCGCCGACCATAAATCTAACGCTCGCGGGCAGCGGTTGAGGCGAAAGGCCGCTCTCCAGCGGTGGCCGTCGAGGCAGGCGAAGCTATATGTAAATAGTTCATTGGAGGGAGGGGGGAGGGGAACGGGAGGAGGGAGGAGCGGAGGAGCGAGGGGGAGGGAGAGGAGGGGGGGAAGGAGGAGAGGAGGAGGAGGAGGAGGAGGAGGAGGTGAGGAGGAGGAGGAGGGAGGAGGAGGAGGAGGAGGAGGAGGCGGAGGGGGAGGAGGAGGAGGAGGAGGCGGAGGAGGAGGAGGAGGAGGGGAGGAGGAGGAGGAGGAGGAGGAGAGAGGAGGAGGAGAGGGAGGAGGAGAGGGAGGAGGAGGAGGAGGGAGGAGGAGGAGGAGGAGGAGGACAGACCCAAATGAAAAGAGCGCGCCGAGTCCAGTGGGACGGGGCGGGATGAGGCACTAGGATGGAGGGAGGTGGGGAAAGAGGGAAGCGGAAGGAGGGCAAGGGTGAAGAGGAAGGAGGGGCAAAGAGGAGGAGCAGGGGAGGAGGAGGAGGAGGAGGACGGAGGAGGAGGAGGAGGAGGAAAGGAGGAGGAGGAGGAGGAGGAGGAGAAGCAGGAGGAAGGAGGAGGAAGGGAGGAGGGAGGAGAGACGAGGAGGAGGGCCTCGTCGGTGCTGGGATTCAGGGCCTTCGTGGCCTACGGACTGCCCATCGCAGGAGAGATCGTGGGATTCACCTCGGACGGGTGGGGTATGCACCAGGGCATGGTCTTCAAGCACAGACTCTCTGTCCCCAAAGCCGCCGCATTTTTTCCGTCGGTGGCGAAACGGAGGCAATCCGCACCAGTGTGGGGCTTCTCGCAAAGCCTCCACACTTGTCATTTGCCCCTAGCCACACCTTGCCATCGCTCGGACGTCAATTCCCCGCGCATTCGTTCGGATTCGTGCGCTTGCTTTCCGTCGCAAGATGATCCAAGATGCTCCTCGATGGCCCTCGCCGAGAAACAATGCACATACGCCCGAGCGATGCCAGGACACCCCCCCTCGCGTCTTCGCCAGGCCCGCACCAGGCCCCGAGACATTCAAAGAGCCTCCTCCTCCTCCCTCTCTCCTCCTCCCTCCTCCCTCCTCTTCTTCCTCCTTCCCTCCTCCTCCTCCTCCCGCCTCCCCTCCTCACTCCTCCTCCTCCTCCTCCTCCTCCTCCTCCTCCTCCCCTCCCATCCTCTCCTCCTCTCGCCTCTCCTCTCCTCCTCCTCCTCCTCCTCCTCATCCTCCTCCTCCTCCTCCTCCTCCCCTCCTCTCCATCCCTCCTCCTCCTACTCCCTCCTCCTCCGTCATCCCGTCCTCCTCTCCTCCATACTCCTCCTCCTCCTCCTCCTCCTCCTCTCCCTCCTCCCCCCTCCTCCTCCTCCTCCTCCTCCTCCTCCTCCTCCTCCTCCTCCTCCTCCTCCTCCTCCTCCTCCTCCATCCCTCGTCCTCCTCAAGAAGAACTCAGATCAACGCAGGATGAACCACCTTGCGAAACAGATCACGACGCGTGGGGACCGAGGGGGCCTCCGCACCGCATGGGAGGCAATCGGCCATCAACCGACAAGTTGAAGTCAAGTCCGCTCCAAACCCTGAATCCAACTACACCAAAGAAAAAACAATCAAAAGATGGTTTGATCGACCGGGAACCCAAGAACCCGGAACCCACCGAACTCGGCCAAGAACCAATAACCAGGAACCTGGGAGCCCGGAACCGGGAGCCTGGGAACCCATCCGGCCACCAAAATCGGTGGGAACCTTTCGTCAAATCTTTCAATTTCCGCTGGAACCCCTTCAGTGCAAGCACTGAGTGAGGAGCAGCATGTACAGAGTCCAGTCAACCCGTATCATAAGGACGCACGGTAAGGAGGCCATGGCCTTGGAAGGCCACGCCGACACTTTGCGAGTGGGGTGCGGCCAGCGAAAGCGGCCAAGGATGGGCCGAAGGGGAAGGATGCAAGGGCAGCCTTGGAAAGTTGCTCATCCTTTCTGCGCGGGTTGACTGCAATATGTCGGGGTCTTCGATGGCAACTCATAGGAGTCTCCCATACCATCTTGTCGGCTCCTGCGAATCGACGCTAACTGGCGCTAAATCAACGGTAATCGACGCTGGATCGACGCTGATCGACGCTGACCGACGCTACATCGGAGCTATCCCATCGACCCCCAGACGCTAATCAACGCTCATCGACGCTGAGGACGCAATCAAGAGGGTATACCAGGCGCCCATGAGTTGCCACCGAAGCATCTCTTACTTCCGCCGACCTCCGCGGACGAAGCCGCCCTCGCTTCACGTCTCGTCGCCCTCCGCAGGCCTTCCGCCGGCTGCTGCCGAGGACGAGATAATCATGTCGACCTCTCGCTTCCTCGGAGACGAGGCCCTCTCCTGGAACGTCTGCACTTGGGTCGGGCGTGCCCTCCTCAAGGCGGATCTCCTGGAACGTCTGCACTTGGGTCGGGCGTGTCCTCCTCAAGGCGGATTTTGGGAGAAAGCTTAAAAATAGTCCACAACATATTCAGAAATGATCAACACTAGCAGAAAAATCGTCCCCAGGTGATTTGCTTTGACTACTTTTGACAACTCCTCCTGTAGAGGGACGCGCCAGACTTGAGTCTGCGCGTGGGGAAGCGAGGAGCGAGATCGCGGAAGCTTCATGCAGACGCGGGCAGCGAAGTCGCCCGGGGAGATCAATCGGAGTCTGCGCACATCATCCTTAGGCCGGGCGTGTCCCCCCTACAGGCGGATTTGGGATGAAGAACAGAGATACCCCAAAGATACCCCACAATTGTCAAAAAATGGTAGGGCAATCGTCCCCAGACTATGCTTGCACTATGTTTGGATACTCGTCCTGTAGAGGGACATGCCCGACTTACATCATCCATCTAAAGACTGGCTCGGGCATGCAATCGCCTCTGGAGGCCGCCCACACGGGGTCGAAGCAGATGGGGTCAGTGGATCGCGCCGCATCGCCAAGCATCGCCGATGCGTTGGCGTTGCATCCACGACGTCGGCGATGCATCGGCGATGTCAGCATGGAGAAAAGCAGGCTCCACATCGAGCCGCATCGCAGATGCGTCGGCGTTGCAGCGCGATCCGTCGACCCCATCTGCTTCGGCCTCAGTAGGGCGGCCCTGGGCCTCGCAACGACCTCCTTGCGCATCATAAAACAATTCTCAGACCTTGATCGCAGTGCCACTCTGTGGATCGGTGATCGTCAGGGACGCGGTATCCTTCGGCGGGGCGAAGTCCACGGCGCTGATCTTTTCACCGCTGCTGGGGTCAACAATGGCCATGACCTTCGTCTCGCCCTTCTTCGGCGCGCTGAAGTCCTGCTGCCCGTGCTGCGCATCGATCGGCTTGTGGGTCGTGGGATCCCGAATGGTCCACACCTTCGTGTGGGCCGCGCTTTTCTGCGGTGCCGGGGTGAACTGGAATTCCGGAGCGTCGGCCCGCATCTCCCTCTGCATGGCCGCCCTCTGCATGGCCGCCTGCCGCCGGGCGGACTCCTCCTCCCCTCCTCCTCGTTGTCCTCCACGCCCGTGCTCGGTGCTCGTTTCTGCACCCCCCTCCTCACCCCCTTCTCCTTCCAGATGTACTGCGCCGCGCCCTCCTACTCCTCCTCATCATCATATTCATCGTCATCACCATCATCACCAACATCACCACTACATCATCACAACCACCACGCCACCACAATGATCACACCAGGATCGCCACAACCAAGACCATCATCATCGCCATCATCACCATCATCCTCATTATCATCCTCGTCATCATCCTCATCATCACCTGCATACTCAGCATCACCATCACCATCATCAACAACGACAGCATCATCATCGTCATCATACTCATCATCATCTTCATCAACAACATCACATTCTCCGTCAGTATCATGATTACCAGCACCGCCTTCATCATCAGAATCATCAACAGCATCAGCATCAACGCCATCATCAACGCCACCATCATCATCATCAGCATCATCGTCATCATTTTCATCACCACCAACATCATCAGCATCATCACCATCATCGTCATTATTATCATCGGCATCACCGCCCTCAATTCATCACCAAAACCACCACCACCGACATCCTCCTCCTCCACACCATCGGCGTCGTCATCGTCATCATCATCTCCAGCATCACCACCATCGTCACCACCATAAGCATCGTCATCGTCATCACCACCACCATCACCATCACGATCATCGCCATCACCAGCATAACCATCCTCATCCTCATCATCACCATCACCATCACCATCAGCATCATCGTCATCATCATCAGCATCATATCCACCATCATCACCATCCCCACCACCACAACCACCACCATCATCAGCAGCAGCATCCGTAGCATCATCATCATCAGTTTCATCATCAGCATCATCCTCAGCACCCTTACCATCACCATCACCATCACCATCACAGCCATCATCATCATCATCATCATCATCATCATCATCATCATCGTCCACATCAGCATCATCACCATCGTAAGTATCACCAGCATCACCAGCATCATCATTACCATCATCAACAGCAGCATCAGCATCATCATCAGCATCATCATCATCATCATCATCCTCATCACCATTATCACCATCACCATCATCATCATCAAGAGCATCTCCATTATCATCATCACCACCACCACTACCACCACCACAACCATCATCATCATCCTCATCAGCATCATCATCACCATCATCGCCATCATCGCCATCACCATCACCATCAGCATCACCATCAGCATCACCATCAGCATAACCATCATCATCAACATCACCATCATCATCAGCATCACAATCACCGTCACCATCACCATCATCATTATCATCACCATCATCATCATCAGCAGCAGCAGCATCTTCATCATCATCATCGTCGTCATCATCAGCATCATCAGCATCACCACCACCACCATCATCATCATCATCATCATCATCATCATCATCATTATTATTATTATTATCATCATTATTATCATCATTATCCCTTACGTCCCTTCCTCCCCCTCTGCATGGCCGCCCGCTGCTGGGGAAAGTGGGCCGCCGCCTGCTGCTGGGCAAACTGGGCCGCCGCCGCCGCCTGCTGCATCTGGGCCTGCTGAAATGCGGCCTGCTGCATCATCATGTGCTGCGCCTCAGAGGCACTCGCCGACCCTCGCCCTCGATGCCAAGCCATACCGAGCCGCCACATCGGCTACACGCAAGAGTGGCCCCAGGCATGATCGACCTCTGGTGCGCGGTTTTTTTTGGGGGGGGCGCGAGAAATGCTAAAACCAAGCGCGCAAGCCTCTGCTGTCGCAGCTCGTTCAGCGATCGGCGGGCCCCCGTGGATTCGCACCAACACGGTCACTCCGGCGAAGGGTCACTCTTACCTGTAGTCGATCACACTGGGCCACCTCGGGCACGAGGCCTGACTACCTACCAGACCATCCCAACCCAACCCGAAGACTCGGATTTCGGGTTGGGGGGGGGTACGGGTTCAATGTAATGCGTTTTAAATGTAGCCCGACCCCCCCACACTGGAAATGGAGGGCAAATTGGGGCCTTCGGGTTGGCTTGGGGTGGTTTGGTGGGTGGCGAAGGCCATACCGAGCCGTCCCGAACACCAGCGCTCCAGCGGCCCGTTGTGGCTACAAGCTGCTGACCAGGGGCCCTCCACTCCCGAGCCTCCGACGCCGTGACCCAGTCCGCGACATGCGCCTCCGGAGCTCCCGACCCCAGAGTCGGAGGCCCAGAGTCGGAGGCGGCGATAGGGGCGAACAGCCCAGGGGGCATCACACGTATTCGCCCGGAAGCCTCGCCGAAGACATGTATTCACACAGGAGCCTCGCAGAAGACATGGACCATCGGTGCCCCATTCGCCTCCATATAGTCGCCCCCTGAAGACGGAGGGCGTGGCGCAGTGGCGGCGCTGTGTTTTCGGCCCCCGTCTGCGGATTCGGCCCTGTCGGTCCCATTCGAGGGCCCTCGCGCGTGGTGCGGGAGAGGGGGGAGGAGGAGGAGGAGGAGGAGGAGGAGGAGGAGGAGGAGGAGGAGGAGGAGGAGGAGGAGGAGGAGGAGGAGGAGCAGGAGGCGGAGGAGGAGGAGGAGGAGGAGGAGGAGGAGGAGAGGGAGGAGGACCAGAGGAAACCTAAACCACCGTAGCCACCCAGAAGGCTTGGAGAAAAGATGGGTCGGTTTGTCACACCTCCCGGCGCCATCATGGCCGCGTACTGCTGCTGCGCCACGGCGTGGGCTGCAGCGACGCCAGACTGCGCCGCCTGTGGGGATTGCCTGAAGACCCTGGCTGCCCCTCTGGAGGGTCTTCTTGGAGGGGCCTTCTTTAGAGGCCTCCTAGATGGGGTCCGAGCACATGGGGTCGGAGGATCTCGCCGCATCGCCGATGCATCGGCAATGCACTGCCGACGTCGGCGATGCATCGAAGACGTCGGCGTGGAGAACAGTGGGCCCCACATCGGGCCGCATCGGCGATGCATCGCCGATGCATCGGCGATGTGGCACGATCCTCCGACCCCATCTGCTCCGACCCCATCTGGGAGGCCCAGACTCTTCGAGGCGCCGCCTCCCTCCGCCCTGCGCCCCCCGCCCCATCCCGGCGCCCCGCCGAGCCCCTCGAGGCCCCGCCGCTCGGCGGGAGGGGTGGAGCCGGGAGGTCTCCGGGAGCGGGCGCCAGCGTCGAGGAGCGGGGCCCCGCCTGCTCCTGGCGGAGCTGCTCCTGGACTGCGCCCCCTCGGCGGAGCATCGCGGAGCCGATCCCCATCCCCGCTGGCGTAGCCTTTTGGCCCCACTGGCCGACCTGCCCTCGGGTTTTCGGGCCGTCCCTTGGATCCAGGTCGGTGAACCTCGTCATTGATGGGTCGATTTCCCACCGCCACTACCATGGGTTGGGCGGGGGAGAGGGGAGGACGGATAGGTCCTCCTCCTCCTCCTCCTCCTCCTCCTCCTCCTCCTCCTACCCAGGTGGGGATGCGTGCCTGCTTCGTCGGGCCCAATCGAAATCAAAGATGGCCAACGGTGGGCCAGGGAAGCCCCCGAGGGCCCCGCGGGAGCCGCTGAAGGGGGCGGAGGGCGTCTGAAAGCAGCCTGTTTGCTCTCGGGAAGCATCTTCCCGCTTGTGCGGGCTGCACTTGGCTCGCTCCATAGACGGTGGACACGAAGATGAGTGGTGGTTTACTCCTCCACGGGTACCGCCCGTTATAGGAATAGGGGAAAAGAGAAGAGAGAAAGAGAGAGAGAGAGAGAACCCCCTCCCAACAACAAAAATGGCATTCACGAAACGTTCGGAGCTCCGCGCGGATTCCTTGGATCTGCGCTGGGCCCCCCCCTCCCTGTAGCGCGGAACGCGCCAGGCGCGCCGCCAGAGGCGGCGCCAGGGTGGGTCCCAACGCCGATCCAAGAAATTCCCCGCGGAGCCCCCAAGAATGTATCTTTATGCCGTTTTTTGTTATTTGGCTTTCCGGTCGGAAACCACTGCTTAGCGTGTCGCGGCGGTGTGGCTGCCCGCTCGCTCGCTTCGCTTGCCTTTCTTTTCCTGCTGCCTACCTAGTCGCGGCCCGACTATGTGTTCGGACGGCTTTCGACCCGCCTCGCTAGCCTGTTGACCAAAAAGTGTCGCGGCGGCGGCCCAGGCGACACGCAATGCCTTGCGAGTGGACAGCGTGTCGCCACGCTCCGCGGGGCGGCATGCTCGGAAAGGCTCGGAGCACTGACGCACGGGAGCTGGGCCGTGGATAGCGTGTCGCCCCGAAGTGTGGTGGGCCGCAACCCGCGGAGCGGCATGCTAAGCCAAAGCTTCGGACCGTAGACTGGGGGGGAGCTTTTGGACGCCCGCAATAGGTACGGAAGACATGGGTACGATGCCCAACAACAAAGGTTGCCCCTAATCGACAGCGGCCACTGTTTGGCAGGCGGCTTTTGTCTCCAATGAACAACGTCCGCGGCGGCGCGGACGGCGAGTCCTGTTCAAAATGAACAGGAATTGCTATTGGGCATAGTGCCCATTCTGTCCATATCTTTTTCGATCGTCACGAGAGTTGAAGATGCGGCCCAGTCGCCGGCGAGAAGGCCGGGATGGCTGCTGGAGCGGCCACGGGCGCGCCGGGCAGCGGGCGGGCCGGCGCGTTGGTCTGCGGCATGGCGGCCAGCATGGACTTGAGGGAGGCGGTGGCCGCTGCTGTGTCCTGTGCCGCGCTCGAGGAGGGGAAGGAGGAGGAGGAGGAGGAGGAGGAGGAGGAGGAGGAGGAGGAGGAGGAGCAGGAGCGGAGCAGGAGCAGGAGCAGGAGGAGGAGGAGGAAGAGGAGGAAGAGCAGGAGCAAAATGAGGAGAAGGAGGAGGAGGAGGAGGAGCAACAGGCACCCTAAGAGGAGGAGGAGGAGGAGGAGGAGGAGGAGCAGGAGGAAGAGGAGGAGGAGCAGGAGAAAGAGGAGGAGGAGGAGGAGGAGGAGGAGAGAGGAGGAGGAAGAGAGGAGGAGGAGGAGGAGGAGGAGGAGGAGGAGGAGGAGCGACCGTACCAGGAAAGGACGAGACGAGGGCAAGCGGGCAAGACGCGGGAAGAGGGCAAGTGACCACGAGTCCGCTTGTCTCGACTATGGCCGCATCGCGTGCCGTGCAGCAGCTAAGCACTCGGTGCCTGTAGTGTAAAGAAGCGCGGCGCGGGGCGCGGCGTGCGTAATGATACGCAGTTTGTTGTAAAAGTGAAATGAAAGGGCTGTCCTGCGAACAGCTTCTGAAATAGAGTGCTCTGGGTTTGCGTGTTGCTCTGACGTCCCTAGGCCAATTCGCACGAGGGGGTCCGAGGAGAGAAAGGAACGAGGTAACGCGAGGAAGTGCAGAAGGCGGGGGCAGGTGAGGTAATGGCCGAGACGGTCTGGGCAAGCTACGCACCCGAGCAGACACGTGCGGCGCGGTCCAAATGGGAATCGGTGGCTGGTCCACCATGCTCCCGCTAGTGTTTTAAAGACAGCCCAGCGGATGGCTGGTGCTTTCTTTGAAAGGAAATCAGATAGCTCCTTCCAGCGAGTTGACAGGGCTGGAGGAAGCACGACATCTGGAAGAGCCGACGAGAGGCGGCGCGCTAGGGTCTCTGCGAACTTGTCAGGGTAGAGGGAGGCGTGGAGGACCGAGGCGAGGGTTCGCTGGACCCTAGGACGGCGCGCTTCGTTGGTGGCCGCGGCGTGCTCGTCTGCTGCGGCGCGTTGTGCCGCGCGCCAGATGGGCGTTGAGACGGAATATGGCGGCTGACCGTCAGCAAGTTCGCGCCAGTATTCGACGATACCTGGGCTCTTCCAAAACACAAGCGAAACCGTGGCCCGAATATGGGCCTGCCCCAACTCCGCCAGGGACATTTCTGGATTGAGCTGGTCCTGGCCCAGGACGAGCGCGCGATATAGCGGCTTCCAGTCGGGGAGCGTGGCAGTGGCAGTGCGCCATGCAGCTGCGAGTGAAAGCGTGACCAGTGAATTGGGGGAGGACGAGGGCGACCACGAGCGAGTACCGAGGAGGTCGACACGGCGCCAGGAGTTGGGAGGTGCACGTAAAAGTTTGCGCAGCGTGCTACGTTCATGCCTCAGAAATGTGGCAGGGAACGGGAAATATTGCAAGAGATACGAAAGCACAGTTGTAACACATGTGTTATATAGTTTGATGGCAACTGGGGGGCCTGGTGCGCTCGCCGCAGGCTGCACCACTCGAAGCCAGTATTTATCAAATGCGGCCTTCCACTGGATGTCAAGAGTGACGGCAGGCCCGATGAGTACGCCTAAATATCGGGCATACTCGGCGATCTGAACGCGCTGCCACTCTGGGACTAGAAATTGGAGCAAGCGCTGTGTGAGAGATTGCACGGCGGGTGAGAAGGCGGCCCACAGGGGCACTATCACTGTCTTCTGAATCTGAAGTTCGAGTCCTGCGAGAGTAGCAATGGCCCGATAAAGGGGGAGGAGGAAAGGGAGGGACCCAAGGCGAGCAAGGACAAGGCCCAGATCATCTGCGCAGGCACCGAGCTTGTTGGATCCAGGAAGACGGTTTAAAATCTGGACTAGCTGACGGATGGGGGCATCAAACGCCAGGGCCCAGATCGATCCTGAAAGAGGGCAGCCCTGAAGCACCCCAGAGCCGATTTCGAACATGTACTGAAGCTGGCCATTGACGCGGGCCCACGCCCCTGGGGAATGGTAAAGCGCTCGAATGACATTGAGATACCCAGGGGGGGCTCCGTGAGCCACCAAAGAGGCAAACAGGAATTCCCATCCTAAGGATGGGAAGGCAGCTTTGATATCGAAACTGACTAAGATGGGAAGGGCATCTAGGGCAGCTGGGGAATGGCCTGCTCTACGGGCTTCAGAATCTAGCGTCAGAACGTGTTGTCCAAAATTACGGCCCTTTACGAACCCCTGTTGCGTGTCTATCGTTCTCTCTTTGACCATATCCACTAAGCCCATGTTCACGACGTGGGCAATCAGTTTGGCGTCGCAGTTCTTTAGGGAGAGGGGGCGAGTGGCACCTGGAGCTCGGAATACGGCATATTGGTCCTGGGGCTCATCACCTTTTGGAAGAAACGCGAAGACAGAATCGTTGAACTGAAACGGAGCCAGGCCCGTTTCGAACATCTGCATCATGAGGTCATATAGGATCTGCGAGGAGCCTGGAGAGGTTGCCCGTGCAGCAGAAGGTATCTGGTCAGGGCCTGGGGCAGTGTGACGTACCTTACGCAGGGCTCTCTGAAAGTCCTGAAGAGCTGGAACCCGCAGGTCCGCGCAATCGAAGACGGGGAGGTGCTGGGCTAAGTACGACTGGACCGCGTTGGGGTCCACGGCCTTGCTCGAGAAGATGGGCTGCCAGTATTTCTGAAGACCTCCGAAAATGCCCTCGGGTGAGCTGGTGGTGGGGAGGGCATTGGTAGGTGCCCCCTCCTTTGGTATCCTAAGTCCTGAAAGTACGAGGCGACGACGAAATGGGTTCCAGGCCTGCGCCCGGCGCATGAGCTGCATCGCGGCCTTGCGGTTGCCGGCCTGGTCCATCTGCATCTCGGCGTGGGACTGCAGCTGGCGCTTTGTGGCGATGGCGACGCGTCTGTCGTAGTCAGCAGTAACGGCTGCATCCATAATCTTGATGTACTCGTCCCTGTTGATGAGCTCGGGCCCGTTGTCGGCGAGGCGAAGGTGAGCGGCGCCAACGTCAGTCGTGGCCATGAGGAGCGCAGCTGTATCTGAATCTTTTCGCCAAACCGTCCGAGCAATGGCCCGTAGTGAAGTCAGTCTCCCATGCTTCGCCCAGCGGCTTTGATCATGTAGTGTGGCTCGCTGTTGAAGATTACGAGTGAGGCGAGCCGCTTCTTTGATGATGAGCTTGTGTTGCTTCCAGGCTCCAGTTGGCGAGAGAGCTGCCGATGCGATGTTGTCCTTCAGGAAGTTGAAATGGCGTTGGTACGTGGGGTCATGGAAAAATGAGCGGATCAATGGCCTGTTCCTCCTTCTGCGCCGCCGACGCGTTGACCAGCAGGAGGTGCAGGATCGCGTGGTCACTGAGGCCTTTGTCTGATAAGGCAGCGCCGTCTTTGTGGATCTTGAGGCGAGCGTCAACGTTCATGAGATCGATGCCCGACAGCGATACGAAGATGCGGTCAATGGCAGTAGCCGCTTGTGTGTTGGCCGAGAAGTGCGTGGGTAGGTCGTGCGCAATTTCCGTGAGCGAGGTGAACAATTGACGCCAACGCGCTTGTTCACGCTGATACTGTCCATCAGGTGCCATCGGTCGCCAGCGTGCAGATGGATCCTTGAAGTTAAAGGAGGGGACCGCGCTGGTGTTGAAATCGCCCATGGCAATGAATAACCGCTGTTGAGGGTTCTGTGCTGCCCACTGTCTGGAAGCATGCCACGTTTCCGTCACTCTCTCCATATCCGAAGTCTGCAAATCGTGATTGTGCACATTCATGATGAGCGTTTCGAAGCCCGTGATGTGGTTGGCCACATGGAGAACAGCAACCCTCCCACGAATCACTGGCCAAAGTGAAGAAGAGGTCGTCGTCATCGAGGGCGTCGGTACTAAGAAAGCGATGCCACCCTTACCGCGGTTGTGAGGGAAGCCGCTGAAGAAGACCTGATAGTCGTAGGGAAGTTTGCCAAGGTGTGATTCGAGATCGAGCTGAGTGCTGTGCACTTCTTGGAGAGCGATGAGCGACTGTTTACGCATGAAGGGAACGAGCTGCCGAATCGTTCCCCAGCGTTTGGCATCATCATGACAGAGTAGCCCGCGAGCGTTCCAACAGATGTAGCTGCCTGCCGAATCTGCTGTGGAAGGTCGCGTGCGTGTACGAGAAGCCCGAGGCCGACAGTTGATGAATGATGAGCAGGTGTCCGATGAGGATGACGAGGTGCAGGTAGATGCCGATGACGAAGAAGTCGAAGATGAGCTGGAAGTTGAAACCGAGCCATTCTGAGTCATACTTGTTTTGGGAATGTGAGCTTGTTCGGGCGGCAGAAGAGCTCGCTCGGGATGAAGCAGATCATGGTGCAGAATAAGCGAATCTGGTGGGCACTCCAGGCCCGAGAAATCTGAAATAACATCAGGAGGGCTCTCCCGACCCTTGGGGTCGACAGGGGCATCCCTCTCCCCGCGTGCCTGTCGACGCGGTACAGGTAGATCTGCTGGTGCTCTATGAAGCTGAAGATCGGGTCTGGGTTCCCGTGGAGCACGATCAGGATAAAGAGGAGCTTGCGCGGCTTCAGAGCAAGGGAGCTGGAGGTCAGGTGCTGGCCGAAGGTGTTGTAGAGGATGAGGGCGATGTTCCCGTGGTGCATCAGGCCCAGGAGGTCTGGCATGGTCTCCGTCTGAGGTCGTGGTTCTCCATGGAGACCAGCGTTTGTTAAAGCCATTGTATTGTGTCCTCCGCTTTGTAGAGAGCGGCAAATTCTGCAGCGATGGTGGCTTTGTCGATTGGAACCTTGGCCAACGCATCTTGATTCCATCGAATGACCGTTGCCGCGTCCACGCTAGTGAGCTCCAGTTTGGCTGTGGGAACGGCATTGCAGAAAATACGTCCTTGGTCCCGACGTGCACGCCAATTGTGCGTAGGGAAGTGTGTCTGACAAAGAGCGAGTAGCTTTTTAGTTTGGGTTTCCAATCTGATGCGTTTGATATTCTTATCAGGGTTGACGTAGAGCGGGACGTACTGAAGGGCGCG